TTAATCTCATATTTTCAATTGGTCAATGAATATTTTGTCAAATTTCAGCTTCGTCTTAATTTTTGTGATTTCTGCATATCTAGTGATAAGCCACGTTTTAGTTCATGCACAAATGTGAAAAGACAAGCCTAACGGTGCCCGGCATGGCACCCACAAACTGTCAAATAGGTGAGGAAATTGCGCAGCTACCCGCAGCTAGTATATCGAATAAAAAAATGTTGTTTTCTTTACGCCCTACAACGTTTGTGGTACAGAAACAATTAAGGTAGTGCAGATGTAAAACGCAGAGGAGCTTAAGATCAACCCAACTTTTATTATATCGATCGACTCAAGGTCATAATCCGAATTGATCTAACCGTGTCTGTCTGATGTCTAACCATGCCACTGATCGCAATTCTTGAGATATTTTGATAAAATTTGCTACAGCAACGTGTTTCAATCCAAGAAAGAAAACTATTGGAAATGGTTTGGATCGCTTCCATTTTTCTACCTCTTTTCAATTCAATTTTTCAATTACAATTTTCAAAATTTCTTTCGAAAGTGCCTAACTAGTACTATTTTAGCATTTTAAATTGGTAAGAAAATTTTGGAACGGTTGAGGCAATTTTTGAACACCCTCTTATATAATGAACACTAAAGTTCATGCGACAAAACGGTATAATTTTCAATGCTTCATGATGGCAGTTATATCGTAATAGTAATTTATAATAAAAAATATTTCCAAATTTGGACCATCTCGGTCTATTTTTTAGATTCTACCCTAATAAGGCATTTCACAACCATTGATCATTCGTAGAGCAGAAAAGTCTAAGTTTTAATATGTGGTGATGAAAATTGACCCATAATAGGAATTTCATACATAAATAAAAATTTTGTTAGACAATGCGGTGTAGGGTATTCAATGGTCGACCTTGCCCGACTTTAAAGCTCTTATCTGTTTCCCTGTAATAAACTTGAATTTCCTATAAATAAATTCCGGTTTCATATTTACATACCTATTTAAAGCCACATATGCATAATTCAAAATTCTGACTTAACTTGGCGATGGGTATATAACCGTCCATCTATGCTTGGCATTATTGATTATGGTCATAAAATTTGACATATTAGAATAGGACTCTATGCATATGCGCTTGCTTGACGACTACAGCTGTAGTTGCAAATGAGTGTAATTTATTCGCAATAACGGACTGTCCAAAGTTTGCCAATTTTATCAGATATTGATCGAAAAATTATTTCAACCTTAAAAAAAAATTCAAAGTTAAAATTATAACTTTGTAGCCAATAAAACGCTCTCTTTAACTAAATGTTCAACAAATTTTATATATTCATGTGATGGTCGCCGGATCATAAATATTCATATCGAATATATTTTTCTCTTGATAATGATTGAAACATTTAGATAATTGCTACCTTGAAGGCCGAAAATAAATAATTAATAAAGAGTTTTGCTTAGGTTTTAAAAGGCAGTGCAACTACTTTCTTGTCACCTCGTTTGAAAAGTACTGCTTGACGTTAATCAAAAAAGTTTCCGCTTTTAATTTCGATTACTACATATTCAAAAATCGATTATCTTATATACATATATATATATATATATTATATTTTTTTTCTATTGATTTTCTTATAACTTATGTCTTTTATTTTTATGGATGACAATTAAAGAAATTTTCTTTAAAGCAGCACTTATTAAAAACTCTCTTCTTTTTCTTCAAGTTTACTCACACTGACCCTGTGTTGTAAATTCAACAGTTTAATATGGTCAATGTCCTTTACATTTAGAATGTACACAAAAACTAAGCTAATATATGCAAATTTATTCAAGATAAAGTTCTCTTAGCAAAAACATACAAACACAGCACAAATGATTTATATCACATTTTATACTAACAATTAGTGGTTAGTGTAAATTTTTAGTATAAGTTATTTTCTTCGCGTTCACTTTTCCACTTGGCGACCTTTTTGTTCGCGTATCCTTAATAGACTGTAGTATATCCGGTTCTTTCATTGTTGTTTTATCTAATGCAATTTTTTTCCACATTTTAAAAAGCCATGAGAAAGAGAGCGTCCGAAAGAGAAATGGGAAGAAGAAGAAGAACATTTTATCTTTGATTTTGTTTTTTTATTGCTTTTCCGTTCTTACAACACATTTATTTACACTCGTGCACTTGTTGTTGAGGTTTTGCTAGCACGTTTTGCTTGCTTTCAAAAGTTTAGTTTTTATACATCACCTACGATAAGGGTATGTTAAATTTGTGTGTATGTATGCAATACCCAGAAGGAGTTGAAAGAGGCCTAATTTCTATTTGTTAAATTAATTTAAACTTGTCTGTCCATCTGTCCGTGTTTTTGAATTTAACATCTAAGTCAATGTAGTCTGTGAAAATTTTGTATTGCGCCAAAAACGAATTCTATAAAAAATTTGGTTTGGATCTGACCCTGTTTACTTTCCATATAAATCTTTATTTATTCTCCACAGAAATTGTTATTTAAAAAAAAAATCGTTATATGGAAGACATATTTCATTGATAATATTTTAAGGCCATAATTAGCGTAGAATAATTTGTTTCACATAACTAGTGGACCTTCTTTTAAAGACCATTCCATATAAACATATTTACAAAAAGTAAGCCTTCATATGACAACAAAATGTAATTTTTAATATTATATTATGAAAATAAAAAGAAAACAAACTGCAGAATATAGAAAGCAAACTGAAAATTTACTTTGGAAAGTTTGGGCTATACATATACACATTGCGGACCCATCCCCCTAATTAAAGTCAAGCCTCTATTGGGCCTTAATATAAAATTGTTGGCATTTTATGACAAAGCTAAATGAGGAATCGTACTTGGCGAAATAATGTAGGGTACTTAACTACAGCTACAGCTATAACATTGTAACGTGTTAGGTTTGGCTTTTTTTATGTAAAGCACTTTTATCTGACAAAAAGATGTAATTGTTTTAATGGATTAAATGTTACAAAATACCATGCTCAGGCTTTCATAAGGGCTGATAAGTCATTTAGATATACCTTAGAGAGATACTTATCTTATTTAGTTGAATTTAGTTTTCCTGAGAGAATTCTCACTGATATAAGTCATTTACGCACGTTCTCGCTAGTTTTGTACATAAACAGCTTAGATAAACTTTCGTTAAATTGACAAATAAGTGTTTGTGTCCTTCAAATTGACTTTCATTAAATCGTAATATATATCTTTTCTAGGCGCACATGAAGTAACTTTTCTTTAGATCGATTGGCATGTTTGGTATGCTTGAGATAGTTTTCAAACCAATGCACATGTGTACTTTTCGTAGGAGTTGGCGGCGTTTTCAATCGATTAACTTTGTAGATGATTGTACATTATGTCGCTACGTTTTGTTGGACCGACATTACCAAAAAGAAAAAAAACGAAAATCCAATGTAGTCTAAGGAATGTAAATAATGAATTTTTTTTTTTTTTTGAACACACCTAAATTTTTATTACATCTGGGCCCTAAAAGCTGCTTATATCGAATAAATTTGATTGTAATTGTAAAACTTTGCGCGGCTACAGTTTTCCTATCGAAAGATTTGTCATTCAATAGAGTAAGAGAAATGAGCAATATATTGAGAGCTGTAAATTTACTACTCATTACAGCAAGTCGACAATCGACGGCTATTGAGTTCAGTCAGCATCGACAGATATATACAGAGGATAAATGCTCTTAACGAGTTTATGTAGTAAAAATGCAAGTGTTCCCTAGATCGTTAGATATCCTACTCAGATAAATTTCAGACTTTTCAGCCACACATGCACTTAAAATATTGCTCGCATGCAGCGACAAGGACGACATTTATCTGTCCAAAGATCTTGATATTTTCAAATATTGTCGTAGAATGGATGGGTAGATATATCCAGTGCAAATGTTCCATAGAACTAATGTTTATTTGTCTATCAATAAAGTCATTCAGCAGGATAACATAGCTTTTTCAGCGTTTTTGCCCATTCGTCCTCGAGATATTCGCTTGCGGGACGATGCACTACTGCCCTCACTTTTGGAACAGCTAACTACCAGTAGTCTTTCCCACCGTTCCAGACGTTTCGTCTTTCAAGTCGACCGTTCGCATACATTACTACTATTTGTAATCCTTGCTGGTCACCGCCATGGCTGCACCTGTAAAGCATAACCTCTATATAGCTGGTTACAAAAAAAAAAAAAGGCAAAAATATTCAAAGTTAAAAAACGAACCAAATTTTCAAAACTTGTTCTATGGACAAAGTGATTAGATAAGTGTTTCTAAATCGTTCTAAGCCTGTCTCTCCGTCTACTTTTACTGTGTTCAATCTATAGGCCGTAATTTTTGAAATACTTGGATGAAATTTATTATGTATGACGTATTATGGCTCAAGCACGATCGCCATAGGCTCACATTAGTCTTTATTTTGAAAAGTCGCTCTATAAATAACCGTAGATTGTTGTACGGTGTTGTATAGTGGGCCCTGGTCGACTATAGTGCTTTTATTTGTAAATTTTTTTAAAAGAAATAAACAAGGAATATAAGTCCGTTTACGTTAAAGTATTTTGTGAACAAATTTTGTATTGTGCTCCACCCTTATCTAGTTAATCACGTTGCAACAACCACTACTAACCTACTAATGGAATTTTTGTGTCTCGCATGCCTTAGTCTACTCTCATATACTGCCACCTCACACAACAATATATATATATATATATATATATATATAGTTCAATAGTTCAACTCTTGGGGGGCAAAAACAATTCATTGCCCATTAATAAACCGTATTCAACTCTATATCAAAGTAAAGGGTTGCCAAATATTAAAGAATTTCTCACACATATATAATTTATTAACTAAATAAAATACACATAATATTAAGTACAAATCAAACTAATTAATTAACTAAAAAATGTATACTTGTATATTATAAGTACAATTATTATTTTATAAAAAAAATATCACGTTTTCAAACGAATTTTTTTAATATCATCGCGAAAAAAGCCAAAGCATGCATATTTGAAAAAAAGGAAAGCAAAAGAATTGAGACGAATTCTTAACTCTAACGTAATTAATTAAGATTCTATTTTTCAATCAGTTCATCATTCATAGAATAGTGTATTGGCTCGGTAAATTCTATCTGATCATCGGATAAAGAGTCATCTATAAATAAAATTAAAAGAACAAGAAGAAGAAGAAAAAATAGCGTAAATTATTTTATGTAAAAGTTAAGAGACAATTTGCGCCTCCTCTTGTCGTTAGTTAGGAGATCTACTAACCCTTCAAATTTTTCTCCTCGTATTTAATAATACTGTTAACAATGCCGTTAATAAAATCTTGTGTTAATGTTTCCGTTATATTTACCGGATCAAAATATAAAAAACTACGTTTTCGCCGTATTTTAGACGCATTTCGTCCATTGATGTGATGTTTATGCTTTTTAAGCGAACGTCTATTACGGAATAAAGCTAAGCTAATGTGCGACTGTTGCAATGGAATATTGTCCGCTCCGAATTCCAAACATTTTCCATTCACACAATAACGTTCTTCAGTGGCGGAACATTTCGTCCCCAATGGGAAGTGACCGTATTTGCCGTTAACCAAATAGAAACGATGCTTTATGAACTCATCTTGACAACCCACACGACAGCTACGATCCGGATTTTCAACACTAGCAGCAATTTGAGTGCCATGACCGGACAGGCCGCGTACTTTCAATTTGTAGCGAGAGCAGGTACTCTCCGCAAATTCGATGGGAGTTTGCAAACGTTCACAAGGCTAAAGGAAAATCTTTTCAAAAACTTATACGAAAGTTGGGTATGAATTTTTATCGAACCTTTATTGAATGTGTGCATAATTGTATGTTTTTAACACCAGTTCGTCTATTCACTACCACTTGTACTCCTTTCGATTTTAACATACAACTGGAATGACAACCAGACTTGACAATCCATTCATTTTCATGCGGTCTCAATGTGGTCGGAACAGGCGGCAGAGTTTCACTAGTTTTGTAATCATTCAAATGATACGTATATTTGTTCCACGAATTATGAGAATTTATTTTAATTTTCGGATTCTGGCCGTGATTGGGGCGTAAAGCTACTTCTAATTATACGAAATGAAAAAATTAATTAATAAAATTTTCAAAGAGAGGTTAGAAGAAACTCACCGTTTTCATATTTATTACGAACAGTGGTCGGACCATAAAAGCCATTTTCGCTCCTTCTACTGCCTTGATCATCTGCGTCATTATGTCCACTCCTATGATTATACTTTTCATTACGCTCCCTATATTTAATTATGGTCGTTGGTATATGATTACTAAATGTGTTCGATCTCTTCGCACTTTCCGCATTTTCATTTTCTATTTCTTTCACTTTGCAGAATATTGGATCGATTTTGTAATAATTTCCGGTAACATTATCGCACGAGAATTTCTCGCAACGTCCCTGTATACAATAGGAGGGATCGTGATGCCCGTAAAATATTGAGCGACAAGTTGTGCCGTCGGGAAAAGTTCTTCTTCTCGATTTTGTTCCATTCGTCTTAGTTCGACAATAAACTTTACACGATTCCTCGATATTTCCCACAATTTGTTCCCCTTCACCGGTAAGTTCACTATCAAATTTCTGTACACTTTCACAAACTCTTCTCGCATAATTTTCAATCGTAATTATGGGAACACTGTAACACTGCTTAGCTATGCAAGATTGATATTTACGATCGCGACCCAAACAACGACGTTTATGATCTAAACATTGGCGTGTATAGGTTACCAAACCGCTACTGCCTTCACCCAAACGTTTTGAAGGCCCATATAAACAACCAGAATCGCAGTCACTCGCTTCACTCCATTCGCTCCAACTACTTGGAGGCTGCAAAAAGAGTTTGTATAACCGTTGTGCAAAAATGTTAAAAGACAAGAAACAGCTGATTTTTTTTAAATCTTACGATATAAGAATAACTTGCCTAACATTTTTTATTAATAAATATATTTAATATTTATTATTAATATTTTATTATCTTATAATATTAATATATTAATAAATATTATTATATTTATCAAGAAACATTATTATATAAATATTATTATTATTATAACATTTTCCCATTTAGTATTATTGAGTTATTCAGTGTATACAGACGCTAACCACAGCACGCTCAATATGGCCGGTAAGACTTATTGAACAAAAAACCATCGCAAACTCTCAAAGAATTTTCAAAGAAATACGCAGATGTCTAATCAATAGACGCTTCCATGCGATGAAAGGGATCCGAAAGTAGAGAAAATGGGTACCATACAAATCTTGACTGGCGATGAAAAGTGAATCTACTACAACAATCCCCTGCCGACGTGAATTGAACAGATTGACCGTTTGTTGTTGCAAAAAATACCCGGCAATCGCCGTTAGCAGACGCAAAGTCATCACATTGCATGACAACGCTTAGTTGCACGTTGCAAGAGTTGTCAAGAATTCACTGTTGCAGCTCGAATGGGAAGTTTTGGCAACTTCAGCGTACTCAACAGAAATGGCAGCTTCTGATTACCCCTTTGTTCAGATGGATGTAGTATGGTCTCAAAATGCTGAAGAGGCGACACAGGGAAAAATGAGGAAAAGTTGCGGAGAATGTTGGAAAATATTTTGATTAACATATATATTGTACCAATTTTTCCAATAAATGCCTTTTTCATGTAAAAAACAATCATACTACAAGCAAACACCTGATATGTAATTGAGTAATACAATCACCAGATCTAAAGCGACCATAAGTCTCTTACAGTTCAGCTCAATAATGTCACTGGTTAGAAATCCGCACACAGATAGAAACTCAAGATATGTATGTATACAAAAGTGATTACAATTAGTTTATAGAAAACTAGAAACGGAAAACCCTTCCGCTTGATCCGCCTGAGTGGCAACTCAATGGTCGTGGGCTCAAATCTCAAGTGCGGTATAGTTTTTAATAAAGCCGAAGGCCTTAGATGCTAGTGCTTTAAGACTGTCGTCTTAGAATTTATTCTCTGGCTAAATTTATAATACTAATAATAATAATAATAATAATATGTTCAGCTTGAGCTTAGAATCATTTATAATCCATTTGACGTTATTAGCGAAGTTATTCCATAACTTTGTAGCCTTAATAAAAAAACTGTCTTGAAGATATGAAGTATCTGTATGTAAGTTTCAGATCTACATCTAAAAAACGTCAGCTTGTCATAGAGTCACTTCATACCTTCTTACATTTAAGTACTAGTCGAAATCTAAATCCAGATATCTCATTTGAGGGTTGACATATGCGATCATAGTTCCTCTTCTTATACGCATATCTAACGTAATTATATATACATATGGCAAGGCGTAATTTGTTTTTTGAGATAAAATCAAGATCATCATATGCGTGATATCAAAGATATTATAAAGCTTTTAAATAGTTTGAAGTTATTTTTAGTACGACTACAGTCAGATGAGAGCCTTGGCTTTCTTAAAATTTCATGAATCCTCAGAGTTAAATAATTAATGTGATCGCATGCATTTCATCTAGAATTCACCTTGAAATCAAGACTGAAGGCCACACTCATAAATTCTCCATTACTACTCTAGGTAGTGAAGCAACATCCAACGCACCGTACGGTATAGCAACAGCTTTGGTTTTAATTGAATTTACTTGTAGATTGTTTTCATCAGACCAATGAGCAGTAACGCGTAGGTTTTCATTTATTCGTTCGACAAGATCCTCAGCAAGACACAACGGCCATGAATGATGAATTTTTTTTTATTGTTACCAAATCATAGGCAAATAGACTAAGCAAAGTTGGCCTTAAAATTCAATCTGAGGTACTTCAGAAGGGATTTATCTAAGAGTACATAAAGTGGTATTGACCTTTGCACACTAACTTCGCGGCCTAATGATCGAAAGCAAAGTAAAGTTTAAGTTTTCTTAATAACCAGTAGTAGCTATGAAAGCCTTGAGAAAAATTTATATTATAAAGGGGTTTAGTCGCTCTTCTCACTAGCTGCCCCCGAGAGATAAGCGCATGTGACAACATTACCTCACGTATCAGAGAAATAATATATGAAACTTCGTTGACTTAGCATCTCCTTTATCCTACCTTCAACCCATATTTATCATTTCTCTTTTCCCGCTCACATAATAAAAATTATTTTTACCTTTTGATATTCATGTAACAAATGTCCAACTTTAGTGTTATCCAGAAAACCGGCTTTATCGTAAGCAGGTTTTGTTAGACTTAGGGTATGTTTTGAGGCAACATAATTTGGTACACGTTTAACAATGCATTGACCATTACGGCACCACTAAAATAACACGAAATTACTTGAAACCTTTAAAAAGAGAAAAAAAAAATCAATGACATGGTTGTACCATGTTTTCACCACAAGAGGTGCCCTCTAGAGCCGGATGTGAGGTCCAAGTGTAACGATCCCTTTGACAGTGCAAATCTCGACATATATCTGACATTGTCTGCGTACGAGCTCTTAACGAATCTTTGCCATATTTTAGCATGCATTGTAGATTGGCTTCAAATCGTTCACCCGGTAATAAACCATCGGCGGAATGATCAAGATTAGGTGTAAATTTACCACGATCATATAAACATTTCGATTGTGATTTTCTACGAAAACAAAGCGCAATAGCGATTGATATCTCTCTTCTAAGCGAATTTTAACGAACTTACTCCAAAAAAGTATTTAAATAGGTACGAGAACATTTCGACCAAGTTGTTTTGCCACTACCCAAAGTTGGCGACATTATATGTAACGTTGGATCGCAACTATTGTCAGATGTATCATGACGCATGCCCAAGCTTTAGAGGGAAAATTTTAAATATCTTTAACTTCCATTACATGTTTGCATAAATAATGAGAGAAAACTTACTTGTGGCCGATCTCATGGGCCACCACGAAAACACTTTCGAAATGTTTGCCCTCGTTTATGGTACACGACGATGTCGATATACACATGCCAGCCACTGGAGCAAGACCAACCACTTGGCTAATTACTTTACCATTCTTACCCACCACATACAAATCGAGACCTTGAATAACACACAAGTGATTAATCACGTAGTCATCGATAGAAAATATTTGCTATTGATTTTAATGTAAAAAGGAAAACACTTCTTACCGGTTAATATAACAGCATGATCGTAATGAAATGGATCTGAATCCTTAGGTGGATTCCAACTATTTTGCCATTTACAAAAGTTACTTAAATAAACATCGATATCACTTGATCGCCTTAGGTCGGAGGGATCTTTTTCTAAGATTTCTAAACGTTTTAAAACAAAATTTACTCTACGCCCTAACGAGGGATGATGGTATAGCAATTGTACGCCATTAATCATTGCCAAAACAAAGCGTATTAAATGAGAACCAGTATCTTTGGGAAAATTCTTTGCCATATGCTTGAAGAGATCGCTATCGACAAAGATGGCCGTTTCGATATGCAAGACATCCGGTATTTGCCATTGACCAGCGGAAGATATATGCCTTCGCTGTCGATGCTTACATTCTTGTGTAGAATTATGATATTTGCAATGCTTTTGATATAAGCCATTGCGACGATGTTGATGATGTCGCGGTTTAAAACGCAAATTCAATGGTACATGATGTTTATGATGCAATTTTTTCTTATCTTTCAAAATATCAATGAAACGTGTAACGTTCCCTTCCTCTGCTCTCTTTGGCGCGGGCAATTCTTGAAATTCTTCCAAATCCGGTTCAAATTGTATACCAACATCCGAGAATTGAGAAGCATTCGGCCATAGGCTATCATACCATTTACCTTCTGATTCCAATATAATATGACTCGAATTGCCAAAGCGTTCAGGTAAAGGATGTATAATAAAGTCCGTATTATTGTAATGAAATATTCCGCGCTGCAATAAACAATATACATATAACAAGTATTTTATCGCAATTTCTATGCATATGTGTTGCCCTTCCTGCACCTACCATATTATAATCATCACATAAATCCAATGCTGAATTCTCATTATGATAAAAACATCTTTCCAATTTCGCTACCAGTTTATGTGAATCTTCTATTAGCTGTGACGAATTAGCATAACGTCGTATAAATACAAAAGCATCGTCGATTAGTTGTGGTGTTTGCCGTAATCTCAAATTAACCGTGTGCTCGTTATCTGCAAAAAGATGCAAACGTGCAAATATTATATCAACTGCTGCTGCTGCTGCTGCTGTTGCTGCTACATATATATTGTTTTAATTATAGAAGCAGCAGACAAAGTTCAAGTTTCTTCTTTTTCTTTTTCAAAAAAAAAATAAAAAAAAATATTTGTGCATATTTCGCTTTACCCTCACATGCCTATATATATATATATATATACGAAAATGAATTAATTAAAATACATTGACCGCAATATTTATAAAACAGAAAAAGAAAACACTAAAGCTGTGACTTAGAAGCAACCAGGCGTAGATTTTTCTTTAGAAACTTAATACGATACTCATAAGATATGGATAGTGTTTATGCTCCAGATAGGAAATGAAATTTTTTTTTATACCAACCAATGAAAAGTAATTTAAATAAATTGCAAAAAAAAGGGTTATAGGGTAAAGGAGAAATTAAGAATCTATTGTAAATATTCTAAATATAGAAAAAAGGCAAAAATACTTCACTTCAAACGTTCTTGGAAAGTAGGCAAAGTAGAGTAGAGAGAAGAAAGAGAGAACGTTTCGATCCTTTTCAAATCTCATTATAGACAGCTATACTTAACTGAAGCGAATGCGTCAAACCCACCTATGTATATGTAATATATACATATAGTCCAGCAATAACGCTAAATTGGACAAATCATCCAGTATTCTAATAATATTGCTTACGATAGGATTCATAAGGAGTAAGGTTTTGTAATTGGATTAAATAAAAATTATGGGGAAAGAAGTTGTACTCTTCACTCAGTCTCAATAGACGGTGTTTGAGGTTTTTTATAAAGTCGTCATATCGATGAGTTTGTCAAGTATATACACATCGATCCGTAAATATGAAATCGAAATTGTTTTGTTGCAAACCGTTTATCAAGTCGTGAATTCACATTCTTAACAACAAACTTAACAAATGCGTGTCCTATCGATGCAAACAAGTGATAATCGGAAGGATGCGAGGCTGGTAAATAAACTGCATTCAATAGCATTTCCCAGTTGCGTGCTTTCAATATGTCGCGAACCGGGTATGCATCGGGTGGCCGATGACATCTAAAAAAAGGCCTTGCGCTGCTTTTTTCCACATTTTGGTCCTTAGAAAAAAAGTGATCCGACCCGAACTATTTTCTGTAGCATTCGTCCTTGTGGCATAATATTACGGCGTATCGAATTTCAACGAAAAATCTTGAAAATTTGCGACCTGTACATTAGAAAAATGTAAGCAAGACAGGTGTGAACAGATGGACGGACAAGCTTATACGATCGCTGTAATAAAAGATCCTTTTGGGTGTTGCGTACGCCCATACGCGGTACAAGATCTAAAAAAAGTTGCTTCCAAAATGCTGAGCAGAGTTAAAACAATATCTCAATGCAAGTTAAGCACTTTTTTTGAAGGACACTTCGATTTCTTTTTAAGCAGTGCTCCATTCAGCGCTTACCAAGTACAAGTTTGTTCACTACAACACACCGAAAATATCGATCCCTTATGATACGCGCTCTTTCTCTCTCTCTCTCTCTTCTCTCTCTTCTCTCTCTCTCTCTCTCTCTCTCTCTCTCTCTCTCTCTCTCTCTCTTCTCTCTCTCTCTCTCTTCTCTTTCTCTCTCTTCTCTTTCTCTCTCTTCTCTTTC